GGTGATGCTGCGTGCCAGGAAGTTGAAATGAAAGAAGGCGAATAGCCTTCAACTGGTCTTGATGTTCGGTTTTCGAGTTTATGTAGTGTTCATGTTGTTGCTGCAATGTTCCTCCTCTACCAGCAAGCAACAAGCAGTCTAGCCTACTACACTACACAGTACAAGACTTGACTTTACTGCACTTTGCTTTACAAATTCTACGGCATAAAGCTGCGAAACAAAGCATATCTCCACCCCTGCCTGCCATGCTTTGACCCTCGCCAAAGTCCTCATCAATGTCATAGTCCTCCGGGAAACGGCCACACTCATCCCGCCCTCGAAACTCACCAGGTACATGCTTCCTGGACGTCGACAACTCCGTTCCCAACAAAAACTCTGGCATGCCAGGTGCGGCCCAGAAATGGTTGTAGTAAGACAACAGGGCCTCTTCAGAAGGAATAAAGACCCTGGCCATGGTATGAAGCTCCAGCCCAACGTCATCTGGGCAATGACCTAAAGATTGTCGAGCTTGTTTCTTCTCCTTTCCAGGGGAGTATGCCGCAATCAACAAGCTTCGCATACGAGCAAGCAGGCAAGCGGTCTCTGGGGCAGGCCCACCACCCTGAAACTGCTGTTGAAGCAATCGCAGAACCAGTGACCCTTTGAGAGTCTTGACTTTCTGCTGGTCAGGAACTCTGCAGCTGACTTTGTGATACTGGTGGCACTTTCTTTGGCAGTCCCTGGAGCAAAACGTTGCAATGCGGCACTTAGAGCAGCGGTTGGTTTCAGAGACTGACAACTCCTTGAAGCAGCCGTAGCACCATATGGACATCAAGCGTGCTGGACCTTCTGACACGGGAGGTTCCCGAGCATGAGCTTTTCATGACTCATCATCACATGAGTCATCATCCTCAAACTCATCCTCATCCTCAGATTCTTCTTCTTCTTCCATGTCTGGATCTTCCTGCACATCTGGAAGAACCACCAATGCTTGTGGCCGCACGGCCAGCTCCCTGCCAGCCACTTGCACCCTTACACGTCCCTTTGAGAGGTTCTCAGGCAGTTGCTGAAGAACCACCCCTTCCTGGCCATTCAGCTCCATTGCACCTTGCAAGCCCTGGATCAACACACGACAGCCTGGTTCCCACACCATGGCTGGCGAAGGCTTGTCCCCGAAGGGTACGACCAAGTTAGGATAGCTGGCATTCATTCGAATGCGGCCCTGGAAGATACAGTAAATTCACGCCGTCACTAACAATGCCATGGTTCTTACGACGCCGAAAATTTGTTACCAAACATTTGCTACCCGCTGTCTGGCCAGAGACTTGCGAGTTTGACACGTGCAGACTTAGTGTGCCGCGCCTCCGCATAAGAAGGAGCTCATCACCCACACAGCCTACGTCACCAAGAACTGGTCTAAGCCCTTGGGAATCGACCTTTAACCCCCCTAAAGCCTCCATGGACATCCCTAGTGGAGCCCTAAAACACTGAAGTAAACCCCAAACCCTCACTTCTTGTAAAGTGGCCACACATCTTGCCCTCCTAACTTTCAAAATCCCAGGATTGAGGACAGGACGACGTCAGTAGCGGGCGACGGAGCCTCACAAAAATGCAGATTAAGGTTTTGCATTTCTTTGTGGTTGGGATAGGGTGGGTGGGGGAGGGGGGCCAAGGTGCTGTGCGGTTCAAGTAAGAGCTTGATCGAGTTTGGGGGCTTGGCATTTTGAGGGCTACTGGCGCTGGGGTGTCTGGTATGATTGGGTTCTGACCCTTCTGCGCCATCAAGGTTAAGGGTTAAGGGGTTTGGGGTTTGGGGTTCAAGGTGTTTGGGGTTCAAGGTGCCTTTTTTGTAATGGAAACCCTAAAGACTGGGAGGTTCAGTCGCGTCTTTGATGGGCTCAACCAGGAAAAAGGATAGGGCGTGTAGAGCTTTGGACTTTGTGGCCCATTCCCTCTCTGCAAGGAAGTCCAAGGAAGAGCCACAACCACTGCAGACTAACTTTCAGTTTATTTGTGGAGCTTAATTATAGGGCCCCCCTAAACCCCGAAACCCTGAATCTCGGACAGAAACTTCGGTTTACTCGGAGCTTTGTGGGGAGGCCTTTAAGGCTTTAAGGAGGCCTCCTGCGCGCATGGAGCTTTCGGCGTAGCGGACGACGCTGTCCCACCTCAGCTTCTTGGTGCGCTCTGAGATCCGTTTTTGTTTTTGTTCAGGGTTCTTATACAGGGATTAGAATACCCCAAAAAGGTTGAGGGTTATCTACTCTGCTACTAAGGGTTTGGATCAAAAGGATTTCGGGTGCCAGACGTGGGGCGTGGAAAGTTCAGGCCTTGCAAGGATAAGCAGTTCGGAACACAGCGTGGCCACGGTGCTCAGACCGTTCTCCAGCCCTGGCAGCAAGCAAAGGGAAGCAATCAGAAGTGGATACTTCGCAAAATCGGGGCATCCCTTAAGAGACCCCAAATTAATATAATCACTATCAGAGGGCGCTCCTACTCGAAGTTGGGAAACCCACATGCAGGTTCTTGTGTGATTGGGTTTAGACTGGTCAGCAAGGTCTGGCAAAAACTTAGTAGACGCAAGGCTTCGAACCTGACACGCAAAGGAACCCTAAACCCTGAACCCTACACCCTAAACCCTAAACCCTAAACCCTAAACCCTAAACCCTAAACCCTAAACCCTAAACCTCTGCACAAAAGCGGCATCCCAGAACTGCTGTGGCGCCGGCTGTTGTGGCAGGTGGCTTCGGGCCATTCGCCCCTGGGCCTCAGAACCCCAACTTTCAACGAAAGAGGCCTGTGCCATGAATTTAGGGTTTAGGGTTTAAGGTTTAGGGGTAAGGGTTTAGGGTTTAGGGTTTCGGGTTTAGGGTTCAGGGTTTAGGGTTCAGGGTTTGGGAGAGCTTTGGCGCTGGACAGCTCATGAACAGGCTTGTGGTTCAAGAGCCAACTCGTAGCGTTTAAAGGTCACTCGCGCATCCCCACACCCCAAACCAGAAGTTTTTGTTGCTAAGTCTGGCTCTCGTGAGGTCCCCTGTTTGATGATGACCATGGTGCTCTTGGCCTCGCGTCTCTGGCTGTCCCTCCCCCCCTCTCCGATGGGAGAGACCCTAAAACCCTCAACCCGCAACCCGGGTTTAGGAGTTGAGGAGCCCATGGGTTGATGAGCTTAGACTGGGATGTTCCCCCCTATACAAACAGTCCTTAATAGGGATTCTCATAGTTAATAGGGGTACTATCATGGCTCTTAAGGACTGTTAGTAGAAGGGGGAACATCCCAAAGCTTCACAGGCTGAGAGGAGCACCGAGATGGGTAGCATGAGGTTGCCACCATGCTCCACCAGGCTGAGGTACAGGTCCTCACGGACACACTTGGGGGGTTTCCGAAAATAGGGGTACCCTTTCGGGGGATCCTTTTTAAGGGCATTTCTATTCGATTTGGCTTATAAAAGGGGTACTCCCCCCCCCCCCCTTTTTTGGGAAATGCCCATTTGTGGAGGCTTAGGGCGTGTGGTTTTTGAGGTTTTTGGGGGGCTTTGGGGAGTCTCAACCTTCATTTAGACAAGCCCGTAAACTGTGGGGAAAGGGTCTCTGGGATCACGAGTTACCCCTAAACCCTAAACCTCCGATAAGCCCCCGTAACTTGAAGGTATTCGGATGTAAAGAAATCCTCGAAACTGTCCCCGGACCTGAACCCTTAATAACTTCAATAAACACCCAAGCCGATTGAAGATGTCCAAGCCAACCTCGGGCGGAGAATGAAATTTTGTGGGGTTAGGGCTTCGGGTCCACTCTGAAACGTTAGGCTTCAAGGGGTTGTTGGGGGGGGGGCCGAGGGGGGGGGCAAAGAGTTTGGGTTTGACAGTTAAAGCGTGTAAGAAACTGCAAGCGGCAGAGACCACATGCAGTGGGCAACAGACACAGCTACGGCCAACTCGCGCACCTCTTTTCGCCGTATGGTGTGATGAAATCGATCGTTGTGCATTAAAGAAGCCGAGGGCCCTAGATACCCCAAAAGGACAGGAAAGGAGTGTGACTCTTGTTGTCATGGGTTAGTAGGCTTTGGGCATGTAGGGCTTAAATCGAAAGCTTCGACTAAGGTCTGGAATGTCCAGACACTGCAGGATCTAATTCGGGTGCACATGACGATCATGGCACGCGCAACTATGCAGATTCGGAAACTAGGAGGACTTCTCATAGTCGCTCTCAGTTGCGGAATCTGTCGAGTAGTTGAAGGGGCTCTGGCCTGATTGGGAGGTGTGGTGAACAGCTTTGGATGCGTGATGGGACACAGATTTACCTTGAATTTGAGGCAGCAACTCATCAGGGAGAAAGGTGTCTCTGCTAGTAAGCATTCGGCCATTCGGAACTGTAGGTAAGGACACCTGAAACCTTCCCCTGTCGCCACGCGCCCGGGCTTTTTTCTATGTTGGGCAGAGGCAACCTGCAACTATGTGAACCTACCCCTAAACCCTAAAACCTAAACCCTAAATCAAAAGGATTCTCGGGTCAGCTCTAACCCCAAAACCCACGATGCTGCTCCACAAGGCTCTTGTTGGGCTTCATTCGGGTATGCTGCCGTGGGCTTCTTGGTGGGGTGGCTCTTGAGGTGCAGGGTGGGGTTTAAGAGACTTTTAGGGTTTAGGGCCTAAGTTTAGGGAGCAACCCTACTTCAAGACCCCTGCAGACCCTCAACTCTAAAGCACTAAACCCTAAACTCTCTAAACCCTAAACCCTAAACCCTAAACACAAAACCCTAAACCCTAAACCCTAAACCCTAAACCCGAAACCCTAAACCCTAAACCCTAAACCCTAAACCCTAAACCCTAAGCAAAGCGCCTCGGCGCCAGCGGAAAAAGGACATGGAAGCCATCCAGCCCACAGCCGCAGAGACCAGGGCAATCAAAAAGACGGTCCACCAGGGTGTTCCTGGTTAGGGTCTAGGGTTTAGGTTTAGGGCTTAGGGCTTAGGGCTTAGGGCTTAGGGCTTAGGGCTTAGGGCTTAGGGCTTAGGGCTTAGG